TTTTAAAAGATTATCGAACCCACAGAGACTGAGGATCAATCGCATACGATCTAATGCTACAGTTTGTTTAACTAAGCGATGAATATTCGATTTTTGGGGGAAACAATTTAATTAAAAATAATAGTAATAGTTATACCGGTATGTGATAATCGGACTTCGGGAATTCGGTGAATCGCTTGGCCTATAAAGTATTTCGGTAAAAACTAATTGTATAAAAACCTGAGACATTCACTCTCGTATTCATGAAATAAGTTATGCTACTACACCTAGTGGATGCACTTTAAATTTAATAACACTTTTTGAAAACAATTTGAGTCTAATTAATTTATTAAAGCACTCTCGTGTATTTAAAAATTAATGTTTCGTTACCACTATCTGGGTTGAACCCCAGCTCTCGCATGCAGGTTCTTGCCTTAATTAATTTCCCACTCTCGTGGCAAAATCGTGTTAATTAACCTCTCACTCTCGTGACAATGGTAGTTAAATTAATCTTAGAAATTGGAAACCAGAAATTGTTTTATAAATATTTTTGGCCAAGGTATCACTGAATTCTCTCAGTTCTTAAGAGTCACATACCAGTACGAATAATTTAGTCGGACATAATAAATTTAACAGCAATGCAATTCAAAATATAATTCATAACAACAATTGGCATAATATAAAAAAATTGAATAAATATTAATTGCAATAGAAACCTGGAATCAAAGTTGCTATGGTAATCTTGAAGTGTTACAATAATCCTTGAGCTTGATTGCAATAAATAAATCGTGTTAATTCTTGAATGAAGAATTAACACCTAAAACTAAAAACTAAAGCTTGGAATGAAAATTACAGCAACGTAGAAAAACTCTAAAACAAGGAAATAGAAATAATTGCAAAAGAATAATAAATTTGTTCTGAGAAAATTCCTTCGACCCTTGGTACTTTGCACTTGCACACATATATATAGCAGAGGAAAAATAGCAGTTGAAAAGTCTTTAGGAAAGGTTGAATGGAGAAAATATAGGGAGCATGGTTAGTGGGTGGAGGAAAAATAGGAGAACGAGTCTGCCCTTGCGTTGCCCACGTCTCCACCCATTTACAACGTCCATCTTCACGCGCGTGACGGTCGTCACAGGTGGGTGACGGTCGTAACGCGCTTAAGTAGCGCATTACGCTCGTCAGTGATGTGTGACGAGCGTTATTCTAAGTTGGGGGGCGTTACGCCCGTCACAAGGGTGTGACGATCGTCACTGCTCCAAAAATCAAAATATTGTATTTTTAGTTCTTTTTCTCTTTGTTTATTATCTAGCCTTCTTCATGTTGTCCTTTTCCATTGGTTTGAGTTGGCAAATGTTATACCTGTAAAAAGACAAATAATCTCGGAATAATCGGGGGTTAGATGACTTAATGAAATATAAAATCGGTAAAAAGCGTAGTAATTATATGATATGTTTTCTCGTTATCAGGCAACATAATTTAAACAATTGAATTGAATCAATTCACAAGTATTTCAGACAGTAGTGGCCTCAGAATCAATTCACAATCAGTTCATCATAGGAAATTCATTCATCATAACTCACAAGTCACAACAAGAACTGCATGCCTTAGATCAAGAACTGCATCAATAGAAATCAATGTATTAGACTCTAACCAATACTTGTCATAATTCAACTTCATTTCATTAGCAAGCGCCCAGAACTGAGGATTATTTGAGATGCTTGAGGATTTATCAAGTAGAACTTTCACCCTGTAAAGCTCATCCAAAAAAATTAACAGTGGGGTAAGAGGTGCCACTAATAATTAATGTTACATCAGCAAAAACCTCTAAAAACTTGCAAATATCATGAACATCTTCCCAATCATTTGTATCAGGCAAAAAACTGAGAAATGCCCAATTTTCCTCGACATATCTAGGCCAAACATCTCTGTAGTGATATGAAGTGGACAACATCAGCCAAGTTGAGTTCCACATTGTCTTGGTATTCAATACTTGCATTCTACCTTTAAGTTGCAACCCAACAATAAATTTTTTGAATACTTTGCATCTAGTTTCAGAATTCAGCAAGTACTTGACACCACTCCTAATCTTATCAAGAGTCACCTTAATTATATCAAGTCCATCCTGCACCAATAAATTTAAGATGTGTGCACAACATCTCACATGAAAAAGTTTATCATCCAATGGTAGATTTCTCCTAACAGAATAATCTCTCTTCAATCTAGTAATACAATTATCATTGGCACTAGTATTATCAACAGAAATTGAAACCACCTTATCCCTTATGCCCCAATCATCCATCACCTTAATCAATTCCCTACACAAAACCTCACCAGAATGTGGTGGTGACACATTCTGAAAAGATAAAAATCTTTTGTGAAGTTGCCGTTTTGAATCAATGAAATGACCAGTCACAGTCATATAACCAATTTTCTATTCACCAGACCACCACAGATCAGTTGTAAGACTGATCATGTTAATCAAAGACATAGAATTTTTCATCTTAACTCTCTCAGTCTCATAAAATGTCTCACAATCTAACTTAACCTGTTGTCTAGTAATTTTTTTGTACCATGGATAAATTTCTCTAAGAAACTCATTAAAGATAACATCTTCCATAATAGAAAAAGGAAGTTCATGACCTAGAATCATATAAGTTACAACTTTTCTAACCCTAACATGATTATATGTCCAAGTTGCCAAACTAGGAGTACTATCAAAACATCTACATTTAATCTAGACTGTGCAACCTCTTTGTCAGTATTACCTCTCAAACTTAGCTTTCTTTGAATGAAATTTTTTAAATGTTTCTCACCATTAGAAGTACTTTTCTATCTCACATCATAAGTGTAAAGCTTACCACGCCATTTGCAATTCTATTTTTTGGTACCATCAGACATTTCAATAAGTAGCATCTTAGTACGAACATTAGTTTTCTTGGGACGAGGAGCTTTACCAAAGGCATTTATCTGACTCTGTAAATTCTGAGCTGGGTCAACTGGAGGAGTTTCCCCATTAGGAGTAGTTGTATTTTGAGTAGTAGTAGTATTTTGAGTTGTGTTGTCAGTTGGAAGTAAAACTGAAAGTTCCAAATCAATCATCTCACCAATCTCTATATTTCCTCCATACATTGTCTCTTATCCCTCATCAAGCAACATGTTTATATCAATAAGATCATCCATGATTGGAGTCGATAAAGAATCTTGAAAAGACATGACATAAAAAATAAATATCAATCAAACAATAGTGTAATACGAAATATGAACAAAATTTATTATCAATCAAACAACCTCAGCAAAACAATTTATTATTAGACCAGATTACAACCTCAGGACTCAGCAACAAAATTTACAAAATACAATCTCAAATCAAAATCCTAGGCCGAACCCTAATGAAGTTCAAAACTGAGCAACAGAATCAAATATTTTTTATCAAAACACTGGGTCAAAATTGATACTAGGTAGATAACTACTCGATAACTCAAACATGCAAACAAAGTAAAAAATATAATGACAGGAAAAAAAGAGAATAGAGTTTGGATACATTACACGAACAAGATTGAAGCCTTCAATAATCCATAGTGTGCCTCTTAACACAAATGATTCTAATAGATAATGAAAGTCAACATGTTGTGTTGATCGGAGATGAAGCCCTGGGAGAGAGACGGAATGGAGGAAAACATATTGTGAGAGACAAGAGAGAGTGACTGAAAAAGTAGAAAAGGAAAAATGAGAACATGTAAAATTTTTAAAATTTATACCAATGCCTACTGGTTACTTATTGGATATTTTGGTTCGGTTCTTCATGCTGGATACAGATACAAATTTTATCCATTACCAGATCAAAAGGTATTTCAGCCGGTCCAATGGTCCGGCTCCATCGGACCGGTTCTTAGGTGATTTTTGATTTTGCAGCTCCAAATACAGCCATACCTGCACCGTTGATATTTTTTTCAAACTCCTTTCTAAAAAAGTTGAAGTGACACTAGTGATACTGATATGTCATTTAACATAGATTAGAGACTATCATTGCACAATATAATAAAATTTTCAAAAAATTTTAGTGCGTAAAAGTATTTTTTAAACTAATCAAAATGCACGCAAAAATAAAAAATTAAAGAAAATTAGTAAAACAGAAAATTACACGAAGATTAAAATGAGAAAAAATATTTTTAGGAGTTTTTTCATAATTTTTAGATAAAAAGTGAATTTAATATAAATTTTAGAAGTTAAAAATAAATTAAAATAAAATTAATAGAATAAAATAAAGCAGAAAAAATGTCAATGAAGCAGATGTTAAGTAACTTAAAGGACTCTAGAAATAATTTTTTATTATAACATGGAAGTAACATATTTATTTTATTTTTTAAAAATTAAAATTTAGATTAGGAGACACACCCTTCAAAAAGTAAGAGAAAATCATAAGCTTTATTTAAGATTTATAAATCAATTTATACAAGTTATATTGGTACCGGTGGAAGATTCAACCATATTTGCCACCGCAGTTACTAAAGTAACACATATTTAATACTATATATATGAACCAATTTCTTTTAGAGTCAGATATATAATTCAAAACTTGATGATTCGACGGAGTTATATTACTTGCATGTAGGGTGGTTTGTCCAAAAGGTTCATCTCCCATTACGTACATTTGTAGGTTTGAGAGCGAAGCTTATAGAACTATGGAAATTTATTGGCAAATAGGGGGCATCACATCTCTATGTAAAGATTATTCCGAATTTTCATTTCTATCTTTGGAGGATGTTAGAAGAGTTGGGTTTGTGATAAAATTATTTCAGATAAAATTATTTCTAGAGTCCTTTAAGTTATTTAATTGACTCACTAATTACTAAAACAGTCACAGCACCGACTGACGAAAACAATAGCACTCAACATAAACCCAGTTAGCACTTAGCACATTAAAAAGAAAAAAATTAAATTAAAGTCAAAGAGATTCAACCCAAGGTTCTATTAAGGTCAAACACTTCAACCCAAAAGAGATTCACATATCCCTTTTCCTATTCATTGTTACTGGTTGCCGAATCTAGTTTTTCTTTCTCCAATTCGATGACAGCTTGCTCTTCAATTTGCTTCTCAGCCACAAGGAGGGGTGCGTAATAATCAGAATGGGAATGCATACACTGTTTCAAAAGGGAGGTGACCTGAGAGCATTTTTCAACAATGTCCTCTTTGTTCTCCTCCGCCTCTTTCACACAATTCTCCCAATCGACGAAGGTGTCTCTGCAACCGCCTCCTTTCATGAATACGCAGAATCCACACTCACCTTCCTCCTCCTCTTCCTCTTTGTCTTCTGCTTTTGAAGCCTCCGAAGCTGGTTGATCAGGAGAATGATTTTCTGCTTCTGAATTGGATTGCTCCTTTTCATCTTCCTTAGGGGGCGTTGGCGTAGCCTTCAACACCAACTCACAGTCGCTGCAGTTCAACAATTAACTTTAAGAAACTTTAAATAACAGAAGTGTCAACAAGCAGACCCAGTGTGTCTCACCATACTTTAACACTAACTTTGAGTAACTGCATATTCGCTATCACCTGAGTGGATGGATCAAACTAAATAGGTTTTGGAAACCTGTCTAATGAGTTGCTTGCATACTGGACTTATAGTATAGGATGAGAAGGAATTTCAAGTAGTAGAGTAAAGTTATGTAGTTAGTGGAATCAAGAATCCCATACTGCTAGTTACCAAGAGAACAATCAAAATGTGGTTACATTAAATCACTAATTACTGAATTAGTTGGCACGAACAGAAGAAGTCACAAACACTCGAAACATAAACCCAAGTCAACAAGTTAAACTAAATAGAAAACAACCAAAAAGAAATAAAAGCACATATCACCAAAACTCCATTTAATCACACACTTGAACCCACAATACCTTCACATATCTATTAACTGTCATTACTATGAATTTTGCCTAACTCGACCTTACAAAATTGGCTTGTAAGGTGGGATCCTCGTCTACAGATTAAAGTGTAATCTCAACTAGAAACATAGGTTCCAAGTGTACAGTGCTAACTTCTGGAGACATAGGTCATTTGCTCTATGATTAGAGTGTATGCTAGGGAAGATTTGTTTGTATAGTGTTTAACTGGTTAGATTTGTGTGTCAGTAAGCATAGGGGTGGGCAATGTAATAGTACGATTGATTAAAGATTAGCATGCTATTCTTCAATGACCACGGGCTAAAAGCAGACTGTGCCTTGTAAATGGCGTGGCCTCCCACCTTAAGAGCTAGCGGCTCATCATTCCAAATCTTACCACACCACACAGAAGTAGATACTAAGCATAAGAGGTAAGGTGGTAAATCTACTCTATTTGCTTTCAGGAAATGCAGAGCCCTGTGCTTGACATGGCTTTCCTAACAAGTTAACATGTCTTCATGTCAAGGCACAGTTTTAAGATAGATCTCCAAAGCACAACGATATTTGATAAATCATATCTAAAATCTGCTAAAATTGATGTCTAAAGAAATAGCCCCATGTTTAGTTTCTACGTTTGGCGATTGCAATGATATAATGAAATAAGATGCATCAAAAAATGCAGAACAGCACCCCCCCCTTCTCTTTTCTCTTAATTTCAATTCTAAGCTACAACTATTTATATTTCATCACCTAAAAATCACCAAGTCTATCAAAATAAGTATATGATTCATCTATAACAAATAATGAGGAAGAAATTAACTGCTTTCTAAAGTCTCACTTTTACCTAAATTGCAGGTGAACTTTTCCTTATCTCTATCATTTTGTTTTATTTATACCATTACCACCTAATACAAGGATCACAGGTTCTACGGGATACATGATTCAGTAATTCTGTCATTTCTACAAGAGATTAGTAACTCAAAGAAAGCATGATTAAGATATCCAAATTCACTAATCACTAATACCTTTCAATGTGATGACTCATCAAGCACCTTCTTTTTGAGCTTACAATTTAGTATTCCACGTTAGATAACATTTTTTTACTCCGCATCCCTCTTCTAGCATGCCAATGTCACTTGTCCGGAAAATGGTAACTAGCAATACACTAAACTAAGAGCATCTCCAATGGTAAAAGATAGAAATAGAAATCAACTTAAAATTCTTAACTTACTTTTAGTAAGCCCTGCAATGCCACATCAGTTTCAAAAACTTTAGCAACTTTTCACTTCAATGATGCAACTCTTTAACAACTTTATGTGAGTCCCACATGTTATCTCACATTTTTATATTTCTTGAAAATGAGTCTGATAAGCTACCTCAATTTCTTTATTGTCACAAACCAGCTCTTACATAGGAATAATTCTTGTAATAGTAGAACTTGCAAGAACCAATTGTTACGTTATCGCTACAAATCTTACTAGGAAATGTCATTGTAGATGACCTCTGATACAGCAGCCCAATAACACAAAATTTCAAATAACCTGCAACCTAAAGCTATACATCCTTCAAGTATTCATGTTAAATGAATCAAATATCGCCCAACTTCACATTGCCGCATGTAATGCAAAATATTTCTAAAAAGAAAACCTATTCAGTATTTCTCTTAAAACACCAAGCTATCTGAACATAGAACATGAACAAACAAAAAAAAAACTATCAAGCAAAAGGATCACCAAACATAAGCAATCAAACAGCAAAGAACAATATCAGCCACCCAGTCCTACATTCACTTTCCAAAATGGCTGACACACAATCAAAACATAACTGAATAACATCTGCATCACTAGATGAAACAAAAACATACTCATATTTCCAAATCATGTAAAACAATCCTACCATTATTAAAGTCAAATTCAATTCATCGCCAATCAAATTGAAAATCCAAAGACAAAAAATCATGTTGAACAATCCTACCATTATTACAAAAAATGAGTACCCTCAATCTTTCATACAAAGTCTCAATTTTTAAAATGGTTTTAGTTTTACCTATTGAAACAACGTGATGCTACAACACAGTAACAACACTAGCAGTATACCAACAATGAATTGATATATTAAAACAAACAAAAAAAAAAAAGAAAGTGAAATTGAAAATAATCACTTTTGATTAGATTGAGAAGGGGCTTCCTGTTGATTGTTACTAGCTTCCGAATTCTGTTTTTCTTTCTCTAATTCAATAGCAACCTGCTCTTCCGCGTGCTTCTCAGCCCTAAGAATCGGTTCATAGTAATCGGAATGAGAATCCATACACTCCTTCAACTTTGCCGTTACCTCAGAGCACTTTTCAACAAGGTCTTCGCTTTTGTCTTCGGCTTCTTTCACGCAATTTTCCCAATCGATGAAGGTGTCTTTGCAACCACCACCTTTCATGAATAGGCAGAATCCGCACTCTCCTTCTTCTTCCTCTCCGGCGAGTTCCGGTTCGGGAGACTCCGAAGGTGGTTGATTGAGAGAAGGATCGGAAGGTTTGGCATCGGATTGGTGGTTTTCGGGTTGATTCTGCGGCGGAGACATTGGGTTTGAGTTCAGCGTACTCTGGCCGCGTTTCTGAGATTCTTTTTACGCTATAAACCTCCTCAAAACCCTTGCCTTGTTCTTTACTCTATATTTTTATAGTTAATTAAACTGTATTTATTTATTTTTTAATTTTATTGAAGTTGTATTTTTTGTAGGGTTTGGTTGCTCTCTTTTGTTCAAAATTAATAAACAATTTTAACTGACTTTTAAAATAAAAATAATAACTGTAATTAAATTCCTTAATTCGCTTTTCACTATTATAACTACTTAAGGGACATATTAGTATTTAATAAATGATTTAATTTTTTTATATTTTTCTTTCAATCCTCGGCGGATAAGATAACATTTATTATTCTCTTCAAATTAGATTTTCCCTCCATCTCACATCCATTTCTTTTCCATTATATCTTCATCACTTTTTTTTGTTAAAATTAAATCAATAATAACCAATCAAATATATATGATCAACAAATTAAACATATAATTTAGTGGGAAAAAAATAGATAGTCATACAATTATGTATAAAATTAAAGGACCTACAACTTAATTTTAGAAATATTTGAATCTATTGAGAAAAAATTCTTTGGCAATAATCCAGAACCACAAAGGTTAAAAGACTAGTAACGAACACTCGATGACTTATGTGGTTCTTCTTCAACTGATACTCCTAATAGTTTGAATACTCTTTAAATGGAGAGAGTAGAAAATATGTGTGTGTACGTTATATTGAGACCATAACATATTATTATAATAATAGTAACTCATAAGTTTTTATTTCTACAGAAAATTAAACATAACATAAAATTTGTACTGAAATAAAATCAAAGCATATAACGTAGAAAAATAAGAAAAAACTTTCACTAATATAAGGCACTCTCAAAACTAAGACACATGTGAGCAACATGCTCATGAAAAGCGTTACTTGTCAAACTCTTAGTTAGTAGGTCAATTAGCATTAAGTTTGTTCCTATATATTATATAAAAAATTAGTTTCTTCTTAACTCTTTCTTTCACAACAAGATACTTGACATCGATAAAATTTTAACTTTGCAGAACTCATATTGTTGTTGGAGTAAAGCACAACTTCACTATTGTCACAATAAACCTTCAAGGATCTTTCGATACTCTCAATGATGTGTAGGTGTAACGGCGTAATTTAATTAATTATTTATTTAATTAAATTATTATTTTTGGATTATTTGTAAAGTTGCCAGATGTTAAGAATTATGGGTATGAGTTGTTGGATTATTATTAATTAATTAATTAATTAGTTGATTAATAATAATTATAATGTTGGGATTAAGGGAATATTTATATAATGTTGGACTTATGCTATTGGTTGCAAGTAGTAAAGTGGGGGTGTGGAGGTTAGGCCCAATAGGATTGATATATAAGGCTAAGTTGACACAAGGAATTGTTTTAGTTGGTGTTTAACAAGCTCTGTACGTTGACCGGAAGAGCTGTGTGGAAGAGGAGCAAGCTGCCCAGTATCGAGAAGAGCAAAGCAAGGATTACGGTCGGAGCTTTGGTTGAGCGAACTTCAATCCATATAAGGGTGGGGTTCTGACCTTATAATTGGATTTATGATATGTATCATGTGGGAATTGGTCATTTTGTATGACTGTGTGCATGGATGTTTCTGGACCTGTTATCGAAGTTGCCTGTTTATTCATATTATGGTCGTTTAGGGAGTTATCGTACGACGTTTTAATGAACATGTTTTAGGAAGTTGCCCGATTGTTATGTTGAGGTTGTTTCGAGTGGTCTGTATCATTGCCCGGTAGAATCGATGATTAGGTCAGTGTAGTTTATCACTGGGTGGTGTGGTCGTTATGATGTTGTGGTGTTCCAAGCAGTTGGCAGGAAATTAGGAATTGTTGTTGTGGTCGTATTAAGAGGGTTTATGTGTGACAGTCTTATACAATGAACAAATTTGTTGATAGGAAATATAGTTGCCCGTTACTATAGTATCAAGCAGTTGGTCGGAAGTTATGAATTGTTTTGATGTGGTCGTTATGATGTCGTGTTGTTCCATGTTGTTGGCCTAACTAGTGGTCGAGGAGGATGCTGAAGTGCTAGGTGCCGAGCGGCATTTAGGCTGCAAAGTGTGTCGGAGAATATATGTGTTGGATGTCGAGCGACATTAGGTTGCGAGGCGTGCCGAGGAGCACGACATTGTTGTTGAGCGGAATGAAGTTACAGGTTATGCACAGGAACATAAGTTAGTTGTTATCCTTCTTTGTTTTTGCCTATGTCGAGGAGCATGAGTTAGTTATTATTCGATCTTATGCCGAACAGGTCGAGGGGCATAATTCTCCCTAGACCTAGTGCCCGTATATGTTGTTTGGTCAATACCAGTGTTGTAAGTTGTTTTGAATTGAGAAATTGCAGGTTGATGGTGTATGTTGAGATGCCTCTAATAATGGGCAGATATTAAGTTGTAGGTTTATGGCCGGCGTTGATTTATGTTGATTTATGTTGAATCATTATTAAGTTATAGGCTTATGCCAATGTTGTTGTGTTTCGTGATTGTTGCTGTGAATTTTGTTGATAATGTGAAGTTGCAGGGAGTTTTAAATGACGATGAATTACCTCTATTTACTCGTAATAATAGTGATATAGGCTTCTGCCTTGCGATGAATGATGATTGTTGTGAGTATGTGATAATGCATTCATTGAGTCACATGCGTTTTCATATTTTGTGATGGCCTGGATTGGAAAACTGTGAAGAAGGCTTATGCCTTGTTGATGTCTCTATTAATTGGAAGTTTTTAAGATGGGAGTTCTACTCCATTTTTAAGTTGGGAGTTTTATTCCATTTTTAAGATGGGAGTTCGGTTCTATTGGTACCACATGCATATGCATAGTAACAAGTTGCATTTCACGTTGCATATTGAGTTGTCGTGTTGATGAATTAATTATTATGTTTCGTTGATGTTTTGTTGTGATTGATGTTGTTTAAAGTTGTGAAGTGGTGATTTTTCATAGACTAATTCTAATGTAATATTTATCATATATTCGATTATATTGTTCGATATCTCACCCCTTTGATTTGAATGTTACCTCGATATTGGTAACGTGCAGGTAATCCAGAGTAAAGGCGGTTTACCTTCAGTAGTTCGAGTCAGTGTCATTGCTCTGATACGTAACACTCGGGGGGGGGGGGGGGGGGATGAACACTTGCTATTTTATTATTGTTATCATTTCAGTTGTTGAACTCTAAGTTGTTTTTAGTTGAATGCTTGTTATTTGAAGTTGTTGGACAAAGATGATATATTGATTCCGCTGTGAAGTTATGAAAGTTGTTGATTTTAAAAAGATTAATTTATGTTTGTTGTTGGTTCATCCAAGTTAATGTGTTATGCATCTGTAATGAATGTCATTGTTTTAAGTTGAAATTTGTAGCATCCTGATCTAGTTGTGGAATTTTATAACTCTGATTTCATATATAATTGTCGGGTAGAATTGAGGTGTTACAAAGTCGGTATCAGAGTAAGTCAGTCCGTCCGGCCAGGTTGTCTAATGTTGTTTGTTCCTTAGTATGCGACAAGTGTGTGAAACATTGTCGGTTCTTGCTTGCTTTTCTAATCACTTGTATGCAGGAGTTGGTTTGAAGATAAGTAGGGGAGAAGCTTTGCTTCTCGAATATATTTCGGTTGTAAGATGTTAGTTCAGTATGTTGTTGATGGCGACAGTGCGAGTATTGTTGAAGTTTTGTTGTTTCCGGAATCCGAAGGTGACATGGATTAAAGATTTTGGTTGTTAATCAAGTTGGTAAGTCTTGAGGGAGGATGATCAGACATTGTTGATGTTTACTTCTTGAAGGATGAGGAGCAATGTAACAGTTGTTGATATACGAGTAGAGTGTAAATCCATGATGTGTCTGAAGGTGATTGTTAAGTAACAAGGATAATTTTTAGAAGATGGAATTTAGAAAGTTGTGATGTTTCAGCGCTACTGGTGGACTGTGAAGTTTTCGGTTTGAGTAGCCCTTGCATAAGATGTCGATGTTTGAACGGTGATAAAGTGACAGATTATTGTAGACCTTGTAGTGGGATCCTTGTGAATGATTATAAAAGTTGTTGAAGTTGTTGGAATATTTTGAATCGCGGATCAGAGTCGAAAATGCAAGGAGATTAGTACGATTTCAAGGATGGAAAGTGTTGGTACTAGTACAAAGAAATTTTGTTATGAAGTTATTGTAAGTTGTGTAATAGTATGTCGCTGCACGACGTCGGTGTTCACATTTTCTGATAACTTTGGAAATTCATATCTTGTGTTTCGAGTATCAGATTGGTGTTTCGTTTGAACCTATGAGGAGATAGAAATACATTCTATCATATGAAAGTGTTTTCAAATATGGTTGATGCATTCCCATTTAAAGGAAATTTGAAGTCATTTACGGAACTAGAGGCTTTTTGGGCATAAATGGTTATTATCGCAGTTGTTCGAGACGAGGTCAAACATAATATGTTATTGGCGAATAAGTTGAGAAATAAGATGTTCGGCATTAAAAAGGATAGTCGTTCATAATTTCAGATATGGAATGTTGCATGTGAAGAAAGTTTTGTAGAACTAAAGAAAAGATTGACGACTGCTCTGGTATCGATTTTGCCTAATCCGAGTGAGTCATTTGTAGTGTATTATGAATGCGTTTAAGATGGGACTTAGTGGTGTGCTAATTCTGAATGTACAAATTGTTGCTTGTGCTTCTAGACGACTCATAGTTCATGAGAGGAATTATCCTACGCGTGACTTAGAGTTAGCAACGGTGGTGTTTATGTTGAAGATTTGGAGACATTGTCTTTTTGGTTCTAGATTTGAAGTATTTAGCAACCATAAGAGTTTAAAGTATTTATTTAATTAGAAGGAATTGAATATGAGACAACGAAGATGGTTGGAGATGTTGAAATATTATGATTTCGATTTGAATTATCATGCAGGAAAAGTGAACATGGTGGCTGATGCGTTAAGTCGAAAGACTTTACATATGTCAG